TTGTTAACTCCAGGCTGCAGCATACTACTAAACTGTCGCTGCATGAAGCTGGCTTGGCTGCCCCGAGGTTCCGCATCCTCGGCGGGCACAATTGGCGGTCCATCCTCCGGCTTCTGGAAAGTGACAGAGTTCCTTGGCTGCTGGGTCTGAGTCTGAGTCGGGCCGTGCAGCGAGGACGAGGCTTTCCGGCTTGGCGCGTTAGAGAAGGACACCTTGGAGTCCTTTTTCTCAGGGACACCGCTGGAGACCGGGGTAGCGCCGGGGTTTGCGCTCTCTCCTCCGTGGCCCCCGGTCAGGGACCCGCCTGGTGTGATCGAGCCGTCCATGCTGGCGGTGGTCGAGTTACAGGCTCCTCGCTTGGCGCTCCCTCCGTCCTCGGCTCTCCCCGACCCCCCTGTCTGCTTCTCCTGCTTGGAGATGATTGAGCGCAGGCTCCCGGTACCCGAGTCCCTCCTGCATTCTCCGTTTTTGTTGCATTTCATGCTGGAAATTGGAGCGACGCCGTTGCAACCATCACCTGCTGTCGCGTTTAAAACCTCTCCCGCGACCGCTGATGCCGACGCCTCCGCCCCAGATGCTCTGCTGGTCTCGCCGCGCTGGGCAGCATCGCCCGGACAGGGTGTCTCAGTAGCTCTGGAGGCAGCAGTGGGCCGTGGGGCGGCAGGAGCGTCCTCTATGTGCGTAAGGCTGGGCTCCTTGTTGGAGTTTCTCCTGGAAGCCGAGGACGCGGCTCCCCCTCCTGGCGTAAAGTTCTTCATCCTGATACTGCCGCCGCCTCCTCCTCCTCCACCTCCGCCGCTGCCGCTCCCCCCGGCTCGGCGCAACCGCGGATGCTGAAACTTGGACTCCTCTTCTCCGTCCTCCGTCTCGTCCATCACGACGTTGCTTGTCACACCGGGCTGCTTACCGCAGTGTGCGCCTGGAGAACCGGAGTCCAGACAGTTCTGTCCGCTGTTGCTCCTTGTGCATTTAGATGCGACAGCCTTGGGTGCGCTGATGTGGCTGCATCCATTGCCGCCCACCGCCTTCTTTTTCATGGTGGCAGCAGACGCCGGTGAAACCTCATTCCTGTCCATGACATTGAGCATATCAAATTTTGCCTCCAATTATGTTTGGAGAAAGCCAATCAGAGATAGAGGGGAGACGGAGAGGGGGCAGCGGGGGGAGGGAGAGGGGGAGAGAAGGGAGAGGGAGGGGTGGACGTGACTTACTTGCAAACTACACTTATATTTTCACTAGTCATCGTGTCAGACATGCTTAAGCGTCAAACTAATTGAGGCCTTTGACTGCGTCAAATATTATTAAACTATTAGCTGATGCTGCTCTTTCAAGCTGCTTCCAGCTGAGGCCTCTCATCCAAACCGTGACCTCCAGCTGCAGCTGGGTCACCTTATCAACTTCTGTCCGGATAAACACACAGAAACACTCACCATGGTGTCAATCACGACCTATAATAAAATCAGAAGTCTAATTGCCACGTGTTAAGGAAAATCAGATGAAGTCGTGTGTTTTATAAGGTGTTTTGACAATGACAGTCTCCTTTGAGCAACCTTACACTCAGCTGGTGTTCAGCGCCCTCTAGTGGCCGCACTGATGGAGCACTGCTGGTGGGAGACAAAATGTTCAGCACTCAGTGATTCTGACACAACTTCAAACGTGGTCGGTGGCACCTGGACAGAAACAGCAAGAGATCCGCAGTGCAGGTCCGTTTCTCTACCAACAAGGTGCACTCGTTGTCCCTGCGTGAACGCACTGAAGCTCACAAAGCACCTTTTCATCCCCCCCCACCACCACTAGAATCTGCTCTTTTTGTCGCAGGTGCAGCTGACACGAGTACAAATATGCACAATTTAGTATAAAAACAGTGTTTGTGCAATCAAAGCATAAAATCCAAACAGCGAGAATACCTGCTGATTTGGTGCTGTCCATTTTTGGCCCCTTTGTTTTGCAGTGGGAATAGAAAATTCTGGGGAGTAATCAATTAGTGATTCTTGTCCACTTTCAGCTGCTGACCCACAAAGCAAAATGATTTAACATTCAGAGCCAGAGTCAGGTACTGCATAATCTGTGCGGATACAACCTGTGACGAGGGTCAACAAGTGCAGCAGAGGTGTTTGTGTACTTGCAAGCACCGACTTCACCTGCACAGTGTGACAGCTGGCGCCACACAGCGCAGTAGTAAATGCACTGCCATCAGGATGATCAGGCATTACACCAGTATGAGTGCATGTTTGTACCAATGGCCAAAGCTGCAGACACACACAAAGCATCATCCTCACACATTTAGGCCATGATAATCGAGTGCTCTGTCACCAGTGAGAGATAAAGCAGCTAACCTGTTTTCTTTGATCCACTTTTGGTTGAGTCTAACTTTGTTCACACAAAAAAAGAAGCTTGTAATGACACAAAACATCACCAGGTTCAAAGATTTCTCACCTGTTTGTCACCATTGCAGGGAAATCACGATCATCATCTCTTTCTCTCTCTCTCCCTCGCCTGTCTTCTTCATTCTTCCCTCTCCGTCACATCCACTTGCTTCATTAGTCACATCTATGCAACATTCGGTGTCACTTCCAGGTAGGATGATGTAGAGATGTGACGTTCCCAAACAGTTTTTTTTTTAAACAAATACACACCAAAATGACAGTGAATCACCAAAAACTGTGCGAAACTAACTCTAGACAAGTGGACAAGTGCTGTGAACGGCCCAGAAACACGTTGGAGCACATCGGGACAGAAACCTAATCAGGTCCATCCATTAATCAAAATGTGTGTTAACCCACATAGTGAAGATTTAGTGATGACCTTACTGGTGTGGAGTAAAAGACACACACAAAAAATCCTGAAAACAAAAGAAACCGCACCATCTGTAAGTCTTTCCCACAGTTTTATAACAATTGATGGAGCACTAAATTCTAATATTTTTCCTCCACCAAAGCCTTGTAAGTGAGCCACTAACACTCACATGCTTTTTATATTTGCAGTGGGTGGCGACACCTCATCTATTTGAACTGACAAGTCTAAGAGCTTCGGCAATAAAATCTAATTTGTTATTGCTGCTTATTTAAATAAGAAAACCTCACAGGTCGCTGCAGTGACTCAACCACCACCTGCTTGTTAATTATTTCTTGGCTCAGTGAGAATATCTGACAAACACATCTTTGTTGCACTTTCACCTAAATGTAAGAACGGCACGTTGCCCGCTTTTAGGAAGGTGCTTCGAGACCTTTGAGTCATCTTATCAACGTTAATTTGGGTTTATGTGAACATCACGGCCCTAAATGAAGAGTAATGTTGAAAATTATGGAAGCAGACTTGTAGCGACTATCACTGCTTCTTTTGGGAGATTTCATGTTTTCTGTTTATTGTACTCCGAGATATGCTCAGGGACTTTGGAAATTCTCTTTTCTTATCTTCCAGCTTGTGGGTTCATGGTCAAGATTTTGCCTCAGTAATGAGTCACCGGGTGTATTTTTTTTTTTTTTACCACAGTTTAAACCTGATGACCTCACACAGACAACATCCATTGAATCCATGACTTCTAATACCAACTGGATGCAGCAGTGATAATGGAAGTTTGCCCAATTACAGGAAGCATTTGTAGGTGTTTCACTCTTGATCAGTTTTAATCAATTCTAATTTATTATGTCAATATTCTAAATAAGCAACAAAGCATGACTAAAGTGCCACAGCTGCAAACAAGAAGCTGAATGGGACGCTGCAAGACTTTTAAGTCATTTCATCAGCATTCATTTGGGTTTTGTCCACACTACTGTCCACCATAAAAGCTATTGTTGCAAATTATTACAAGGACAATAACCACAGTTCATTCATCTCAAGAGTTTTCTGTCTTTTAATTCTACTCAAAGATACGTCCACAATATCAGTCACTTGGAAATGTTTTGTTTTTTCCCCGTCTTTATGATCTGTTCTTCAATGGTGACTCACCAGGTGTATTTATACCACAGTTTAAACCTGTTCACCTCACACACACAATGTCCAGGTATGACGTCTGATACTAACCATAGGAACTGAAGCCAAAACACCTTTAATTAATGAGATTCTGATCTGTTTTGTGGAGGAAACCAAATCTCTGGAGAAATGTTTTGACAGACAGCTTTTTCAGATACTACCGTTCTCTTTAAAATGTAGAGATTCACATTATGCATTGCCGTTCAAACTGTCCAAGCTGTCACAAAAACGTTGATAATCCTACGGCCAAGTCTGGAGCACTTGCCGTCTGTTTGGAAGAGATTGATTGTGGAAGTACAGCGCCTTGTTTGTGGCATCACGTTCGGAGGACAGCGGCTCTGATTAGTGCTGCTACGGCTCGTTCTATACCTCCTGATTACTGCTGCTGCTGCTGAGTTTCCACTGATTTTCTCTTGGTCACTGATCTTCCTGTGTCCTTTTCCATCTTTGTGAAGTCTCACAAATCAGATTTTTCAATTCCTCTGGAAATTCTTGTCCATGTGCATGCAGACAGACAGAATCCACAGCTTTTATACTGTGGTGTTCACGAGTCGTTTTGTTCAATTAAGCTGTAAATCAAAGGTGTTCTCAATTTAGTTTCAGTGATAACAAGCTTTTGAGCATTAAGGCTCTGATTTGGGGCCTGTACTGTCAATTTAACCTTTCCAAAACATTTGTGTTTGAATGTTCATTGGATAAAATATTTGTGAACTTATAGAAATAATGCACAATTTGAAAGATGTGACCATTTTAAATCATTTAAAATGTAGTTTATTTTTGCACTTCTATTGTATGCTAGTCTCTTTGGCATATAATTAGAAGTTTGGCAAGTACTTGACTTAAGTTTGTTCTTGTGACATAATGAATGTTTATTGAAGATAAAAAACAGCATCTAACTCTTTTTGTGCATCATTAAACCTTGAGCATTTTCCCCACCAATATGCAGCAGTATTTAGTCAATCCTCATGTTTTCAGTTTTACATCAATCACTGCTTTGAATCTGCACATTATCACCAGAAGCCCCGAAATCAGTTGGTTTTAGCACTTTATTGTGACTGTACAAAAATTCAGTAAATAAAATAATAAACACTTTGTTTGTGAAACACATTTGGCCAGTTCCATAGAGGTAAGATGATCCCTTTCCTTTGTTGTCTTTTTTGTTTGTTTGTTTGTTTTCTTTTATATTGCTCAATTTGTGTTTTGGGTAAGGGTTCAATAAACACACAGGCTTGTGAAATTGTTCACTAGAGGAATAAAAATTATGCCCACTTCTGAGCTGTCATGATCTTTACCTTGTCACATCAAAAACACCATGATTAAGCTCTAATAAAAAGAGATTCTAATTGTTTTTTTTTTAAGAACAAATGTGTCCTAAAAGACTTATTTAATGCAAAAAGCTGAAAAAAAAAATCCTGCTTGTTTTTGTTCAGTAGTTTACCCAGATTCACATTCTCAACATCAGACATAATTTTGTGCAAAATAAAGGTGCAAATAAATAAAAAAATCAGATGCATACTCTTAGTTTCTTTCTCGCAAGGTTTTAGCTTGATCCATTAGCTGTACAGTGGCTGATAGTTTAAAATGAATTTTCTATCTACACATCTATGGACTCTGCACCACCACAGGCAATGTTTTAAAAGAGCATCTTGTCTTGTAAATATAAAAATGTGTCCCAGCCTCATGGCAAAGACATATTTCCATCAAAAAAGCAGTCCACTCTGACTCAAACTCTGCTCCACGTCTGGTCACAATCCCACTTGTTTTTATTATATTTCACATCCTTCCTGGATTCTCTTCTAACTCAGTCTCACCTCCTCATACACTCGGTAACAATAGCAGCAGGAGTTGGACCCAGCGTCCGTTCAGCACAGGGGGAGGAATGATGACTAATAGTCTGCAACAGATTCCGAGTTCACCTCGACTCATCGTCACCTAGAACTGAGACAGAAAACTGTCCCGGTCTCAGCTGTAGAGAGAAGCTGTTGGGTCTCAGTCGGGTGTGATGTTTTCGGATGTGAGGTGGTCGTGAAAATCTAAGAGTTGCTGGCAGCATTTTCGTTGCTAGGTGAGCTCGGGGAGGAAGAGGAGGAGGAAGAAGGAGAGAAGTTCATTCCTGATAACCCTGGTGGGTCTGTGGCTGTGTTTTGTCCACTAAGACTCTTCCTGCACACAGGACACGTATCGTGCTGTGAGAGAGGAGGATCAACAGGTTATTAATCTGGTGATGGCAACAGCATCCAGTTCTGCTGCTGTCTGACACAGATGACCTGGTTCACTTTCTTCCACTCTCTTCTCTAGCCTCAACCTGAATAATTCAGCAGCAACTAACCCAACACTGAGGACAAAGAATATAGCATTTTTGTTTTCTAACATAACACAACTGCACAATGCACACTAACTAAAGCCACTCCAGGCAACATATGGATGACAGTAGCCTGACTTCAGATGAACAAAAAAATGGCAGTAGGTGTGGTTGAGCTGTGAGCTGATAATATAAAGTGGTGTATTTATCTGAACAATCTAACTGCTTCTACCAGCAGCTTTAGTGACTAAATGGCTTCTGCAGAACAGATACATTATTTGCTCCTGATGTTAGATCAAAAGGAACCTGGACCATCTCCTCTACAATAAGAAAACACATTCTTCATTCAATAGCGCATTTTTAGCGTCAGAGGAAATTTGTGAAATCCAGGTTTAAGAAATGCAGTGATTTCTTTCTGCCCAGATTATCAGAAGATGATGGTTGAAAATGAGGCAAGTCTAAATGAACGATGTCAGACTAAACTGTGGTATTACAATGTTCAACTGTTTTTTTTTCGTCTTCAGGATTTGCATGATACCTTGTCCTAACACTAGAATTGAATAAAAACTAGGACACAAGAGCATCAGTGGTTCTGCCACTCTATCGCGAGTTACTACATCTACTATAGCCGACAGTTTGTTAGCATGCCACGCAAACGCATGTTCCCTGCAGATGAGCTTGGTCTCCTCTTTTCAATATCCCAAGAATGATGAGATAAAGAAGAGGTGCATTTAGACATTATGTGAGGAGCACCACCAACACCCGCCTCTGCAGTGGTACTTTTACATCAAGTAGTTTTCATTGGAGTCAAATGGCAAAGGGGGCTGACCAGACTTTCTTAATACCCAGCCTTCATCCTCCTGCTGACATCTAGTGTCAATATCTGCAGTACATGCCCTCCATTAAGTGTAAGATGCCTTGTGTGCTTAGTATATTATCGTAGGTAACTTAGGCCATACTCCATATCTGCAGTAGGTCTGTTACTTCACATCTAACCTGCTTGGTTAAAACTAACTCTGGTGCATCTGCAGGGTTCATTTGTGCCTGTCTGGAAGTTGTTAATCAGGGCTTTCAGCAGACACAAGCCCAGTGTTTCAGAGCAGAGAACACTGCTTACTTTTATTTAGAGTTTTCAGATTTCGAAAACTAACTTTGCATACTTCTTTTGTTTTTGTTTTTCAAATCATTAAAATTTGGCTGGGTGGTTAGCAACACGGTGTTCTGTGGCGTGACAAACTCAGAGCAGTTTTTTTTTTTGTTTGTTTTTGTTTACTGCTTTACATCGACTGCAGGTTTAGAGTTCAAAGCAGCAAAAGTTAATAGAAACACTGCTTACCACCACTACTTAAGCCCAACTAAAACTGTGAGCTGTTATTTTGCAGTTAACTGGTTGCACTGTTGTGTATTTAGTAAGAGCTTCACAGTTATACAAAAGCGCAATCTTTTATAATGAATAAATGATCAGAAACAAACCTGGCAACACAGCTTAATGTAGCTGATAGTAATTAAATACCATAAATAATGTCTGATGTCAGTCTGTTTGGGACGTTCATATTAGACATACATACCTGTTCCAGCCACGGTACTATACAGTCATTGTGAAACAAGTGATTGCATGGTAGTTGCCTAACACTCTCTTCAACACTGTAGTCTTCTTTGCACACGGGACACTCTAAACCAGCACCTGCACAAACAGAAAACGAAATACCATCTGTCTGAGTGCATGAGCGCCACAGTCACAGCTGCACTGAGAATTCTAGTCTAAGCTTATGCTGTTTGACGTTATGCAGTGTTCTGCAGTGTAAGGTTAAACTCACTACATTCATTAAACATGATTAGAAGTCAAAACAGATCTACATTTACTGTACATGTAGGAATTTTCCCTCATTAGTCCCTGATGATGTAAAAATAAAAACCATACCGTTAAGACAATTTCAATCAGGAGCTATGTTACCATTTTATAGAAAAATTGAATCTGCTGAAAGGCCTTTGCTAATGGGTTCATTTGTTAAATGGTGTGTGTACAGAAAACAGCCCTGATCAAAATGAAGAATGTTTCTGTTCTGTTAGAGAACACAAAAAAGCAGCAGAATTGCTTCTGGTGCAGACTGGGTGACATACAGTGAGTGATTACCTCTACAGTCATGTTTGAAAATGAGAAGTGGACTTACCCACATGTTCCTCTGTAATGGAAATGGTAGGTAAACTTTTTATTCTTTCTCTGTCTGCAGGAGGAGGACCCGTGTTTTCAAACTGGTTTAACAACTACAAGTGAAAAAGAGCATAACTGTGGTGAATGGATTATCTGCATGGATACAAGGTTATTATGTAAAAAAACAGCTTTTAGACATTCTTTTTTGATAAATAGCTGAACACAAGTTCTTCTCAAAGCTTGATTTTCCAGGTGCAGCGGTACATTCATGCAATAAAGAGTCATTCGTTTGTTGCCAACAGAGTATCTTGTACACTGGATTCTAAAAAAAAAAAAAAAGACAACTTCCTGAAACCATTTTAAGACTATGGAGCCAGGTATCATTTTACTGCTATAAAATACATTTCAAATCATTCAATATATTGTGAATTATTCATTTGTGATGTATGATTATTGAGAAGGCTGTTAGGTAACTGCAGCCTTCCATAATATGCTAGAATAACATTTTTCATACTTGTGTAATTATAGCATCGAGTCCATTGGCACCCCAGGCATAGTCCATTGGATTGGAATGTAGCATACCCCTGTGAATCAAGAAGGTGGGAAGTCAGAAAACAAGAGTTAACACAATAAACACAGTTTTAGTAGCATAAAACAAATGAGCAAATGTATATCTTAGATTCTGAAACTTACCATGGTCCCATCCCGATATTTGGCATGGCTGTTGGTGCTATGATTCCATTTACTAGCTGCTGAATTATTCTGCATTAGGAGAAACATTAAGAAAAAAAAACATCACTTTCACCAAGCATTCCCTGAATCAAACAGAATCTCAACTTCTCTTCATATCTGACTTAGACATTTGGAAAATGTCTCTACATATCTACAATTGTACTGCTCACTAAAACTAGCAAAAGCACATATTTGCTGTTTCGTATTTATAGGAGTAGCTGCTCTTTGTTAATAAGATGACAAATGTTTTATAGTATATATGTATTATATGAGATACTAAGCTTTTGGTAAGAGGCAAAACAGAGGACTTCAACATTCTACATGATGTTTAGAAGTATCTAACCACATTATTTGGTCATATTCTAAAATTGGACATAATGTTGTTTATGTATTTCTTTGGTCATAACATATGAGGTATTTAACACTTGCACACACTGTCAGAAGCTGAATTGTTTCCCCGTACCCTCGTCCCACACACAGTCTACTGCTGAAAATGTCTCACCCCTCTAATGTGGGCACTCCTTCGTGACGCGTACCCTGTCGCCGAGGAACATGTCGACCCCGCGGTTGCCGAGCACTGTATCGTTGCCGCGATGCCATTTCCCTTTCTCTCCTATTTTCGGTCTCTCGGTTGTCCTCTGTGGGCAGCCGCGTTCGAAGGTCGAAGTTTTCATCAAAAATCCCAAGGGCGAACGGACCATACCCGGAGGGAAATGTGAATAAGTGTTGGTGATCCATGCTCTAGTTGTAAAGACAGAGGCAATGTCAAATTGTGGTGCAGAGGGAAAAGAAATGTTTTCCTGGGTCAGCAGATTTATCAAGTCACACTGACCTCAAAGGCTGGGCGATTTTGATCAGTGGAAGAGGACATGGATGCAGATCCATTTTCAGTACTGCATGAACACAGAAAGTGAGAAGCCTCAGACACCTACTTAAACATCAAACTAAAAAAAATTCACAAGACACACAGAGATCCGTCTTACCTTCTTTCATCAGGCAGTTCCTCAATAAAACCAGATTCACAGCGTGGACACGTGTAGTCCTACAACAAAAAGATAAATGCCAGTCTCTTTTATGTATACACCATACCTAACAAAAGCCCAGCTGTTAATTATGTCTGTATTCTACTCCAACAGCCCAGAATGAAAACCTTTCCTCATGAGGATTAAGTTTGTGTATTAGAGAGATGCTGGGTTAGATCTAGGTTGGTGGCTGATGAATTGTGTTGTGTCACCCCGAGAAGCGCTTTAATAGATGTGAGCACTTCCAATGAGTAAATATTGTTTCCTGAGGGAACCCTGCCACTCGACTGAGCAGCTTACAGACTATAAGGTAACTGTTACTGTAACATTCAAGAAGCTTCCCATGAAAAGCTGTTGTCTGTTGTCACACTGCTGTGGCAGGCAGGCGAGCTGTTGCCACAACAGCAGTGTGGACTGACACAAGGGACACTGTGCAAGTTTCACTTCTTTTTGGGGTACAACCACAAGAGGGTAACGACAGGCATTATGGGAAAGAAATGTCCACTTACAGTTTTTTATATTAACTGAGTGAAAATCCCAAACCATGAACAGGAACCAGCTAGTCGCCCCTACGATTTCTTTCTTTTTTTTTTTAAATCAGCTAGCTTGTTTAACGCCTCCCCTTTAATACCTGTCAAGGTGTTAACGTGAGCTCTGACTAGCTGCTATTCAGTATATCACAATATAACTGAAATTCTATCTAAAACCCAGAATCTTAACATGTGTGTATCCGCCAGCTTAAATACTGACTCTTAACTGTCACTCTTCCACTCCGTCGCTGCCTACAGTGTTAGCATAACTAGCGTAGCGAAATAGCAGCAGTGAGTCGACGTGACTCTTGAGCGCCAAAAACACACACATAAAACCACACAAGGCCGAATATCATTTCTCATTTTTCACGCAAGTCCTTACCGGTAAACGCGGACTAATCTCTGCTGAACACCGGTGACAAAAAAACCGGCAGGGCCGTGGGGGAGCTTCAGCCATTTCTAAGCAGGAGAGCAGTTAGTACGGTGCGGACGGTAAGCGGCAAGGGACAACAAAACCCGAATATAGCAAATGGGAACGACGGAAACGCACGAACACCAGCGAACCGTTGCCATGACAGTGAAGAGACGAGGACTTCCGGTTTAAGATTTAAAAGTCCTACATGGTGAAAATTCATTTTTATCTCAAATATGAAAGCATAACACTGGTAGATGTGACTAATGTCGGGAGGAAGAGACTGCATAGCACGTTATGATACACTGTTGGAAAATATGCATCAAAAAGAAAGCAATTAATGAAAACTGAAATTTGCTAAAAATGGAGGTTCTACGAAACAACTCAAGAAGTGACCGCTATCAGATTCTATTCCAGCACCTTAGATAAACCAGTCTGATCGAGATGATATGAGGATTCCCCCCTTTGATGAAAGCTATGGATAGCAGACTGTACTGTTTGGATTTGTGTTTGCGGCGCTCAGTCTGTAAGTAGAGACGATGCTTTTATTTTGGAGAGCTGCGGCCGCCGTGTTTGTTAGCAAATTCAGTTTCAGTTAGCTTCACGGTAGCAGTCGAAGGCCTTATTGTCGTCCGTGTGCGCTGTTTTCGAAATATACTTTTCCTGCTGCTACGACCATGGAGTCTGGCGATGCAGGTAAATCTTACACTGATGCAAATTCTAAATATGTAGCAGTAGCTCCAGGTGAACACAGCAGTCTGTCAGGTTAGCTGTTAACATTCATTAGCTTGTGTAGCGTTGGACGCCTCGCCTACTGGCTTATCCAGTGTACAGCGTAAGCTAAGTTAACTAGCTGTCTGGTCAGCTAAAACCAAGTAACCTAGCTGCCAAAGAAGAAGGTTTAAATCATTTTAAGTTTTCTCAATAAATACCCACTTTCGACCATAGTCCGTAATGTTCACATTTATTGTCATAAGCATATTTTTAATCCAGTTCAAAGGGAGTCAAACAGCAAAAGTTGCTGTTGTTTGAATCAAAAGATTTCTTGTACGCTAGCCTTGCACACTTATGTATAAATTCATTTTGAAGGTGTAATGTTGCATGGAATATACCTTTACCAATGTTCATTTTAAAGCCAGTTAATATGAGATGATTTGCACATTTTATTGAATGAAACTGTCAGAAAGTGTCACCAGCTGTATTAACAGGATTGTTATTGTCTTACATTCAATTTTCTCTTAATTCTGTTAAAGGCCGAGGAGGCTGGAAGTCCAGGCAGGTTCACCCACAGAAAAGCAAGATGAACATGAATATTCTCCGTCAAGAAAAACTTATAGCTCAGAAGAAAAAAGAGATTGAAGCCAGAATGGCAGAGCAGGCAAAAATGAATGCGCAATCCACAGCCAAGCCCCTGCCTACAAGGTAATTATACACATTCTCATTCAGCACAGATACACAAAGTCCAAACACATGGAAATCACTTTATTTTTTTTAACCTTTGTGTCCGGTTCTGTCTGTTGGTATTGTTACGCATGCAGATTTCTTTGACATCAAGGATGACCTAAAATTCTAACAAAGAATATTTTTAAATGTTTTGTCCACTTTGTCTCACCAGTTCTCTCAGTCTCCAGGGAGCTTCCTCAAATAAGTTTGCAAATGATGGAAGCTTCTTACAGCAGTTCATGAAGATGCAGAAGGAGAAAACTAACAATACGTCTGGTGAGTACCTTAATCTGTACTGTATTTATCAAAACATGGCATCTCTATCTTGCATCTCTTATCATGTCATGTGACTTTGTATTTTGAAATACTGTGATTTTGCATAGCCAGGTTTAGCAAGGCAACAGGAAGACTTGGACACATGACCTTGTGGTTTTGGTTCATGTAAAAAAACTTAGAAGGAAGTCCTTGCCAACTGTATAATAAGTGTAGATCTTTAAGACGGCATCTGGCCCAAAGAAACTGGTTTAGAATACCTTGAGAGGACAGTTAACAATACCTTACCTTGTTTTGTTTACCTGAAAACCATTACCATCTATAGCAGAAGTAGTAATGGCATTTTTCTGAAGGCTAGTACTAGATGTTTTCAAACGTGTCCTTTTTCGTACACCCTATAGGTCCCACCAGTGATGCCAAGAGTCCCTCGACCTCGACATCATCGCCAGGAGGAAACACATTGCAGAAAAAGAGCATTTTTGTTGGCCAGCGGCCTGGCCTTGGGGTCAGCAGCATGCTTAGTCAGTTCAAGAGCTACTCACAGTCAAAGAAGGCTCCCGTTCTCAGCCAGAGGCCGAGCGTGTTTTGCTCTCCAGATGGTGAAGATGAGGAAGAAGAGGCCGATTACTCCAGATTCTTGGAGATGAAAGGTAATTCAAGGCCTGTGTTTTCTAGTGTATCTCGGGACAACTCCATGACATGGACATTTCAGTGCATCCTCTGCGCACTCCAGTGACACAGTTGCCTTGTGACTGGCATTTTGTCATTTGTGCCTTTAGAGTAAATGTACTGATAGCCTGCTTAAAGTCTCTCCCCCAGAGGATTCAGACACCAGACTCATTATCAACAAGATGGCCTCTTTTGTGGCGGAGGGAGGACCTGAGCTGGAGAAAAAGGCCAAGGAGGACTACAAGGACAATCCTGTTTTTTCGTAAGTTTGAAGGACGTTGCAGCTTAATGACAGTTGTTTAATCCTTGAGAGTATTTTTGAAACTCATCCAACTGTTGTCCTTGCCTTTCAGATTTTTATATGATAAGAGCAGCCTGGAGTATCTCTACTACAAAAACAAAGTTGCAGTTTTGAGAAAGGAATTGCAAAGACCTGAGAATACATCAGATAATGGTAAAATTACATTTATTTTCTGACATTCATTTTTCTTCTTTGTTTCGCTCATCCTTCCTGTCAGAACTACTAAACTGCACAGAGACTGGACAGCTTTTCAATACAGCATTTGCAGATTTATGTGAAGTTATCAAGCATTACAGTGTGACTTTAGGGACACACAAAGAAATTCTGATTGTTATTGTTATAACGGGGATTACAGTAGCCTTTAAGTCATGTGTCATCATACAGCCAAGTTAGTATCGTTTACTTTAAACCCATTTATGACAGATTATCGCAACAGAGTTCACCAACAACTGATTAGTTTAGGAGACCTGCACGAGAGGGTCTTTACAATCAGTGTTTTGAATGAAAATACAATAACATACCCATGTGATCCTTATTTCTGGTCTCTGACTTGAGTAAAACTGTGCTATTGACAGAAGTATTCAGCTGCACTATATGCATACTGGCTTTCAAGATCAGACTTTCATACTGAAAAAAATTGAGTGACAGCCGTATTATCGTTATGGCTTTCCTATCAGACTACTGTTTGTTTCAGGCTGTGCATATACTGGTAGTGGCTTCTTTAGCTTTCGTCTCTTGTGTAAATCCTATTTATTTTTGGATCGGGCTTTGAAAGCTGCTAATGCAACATGGGTAAATTCAGATATATATACTGTTTTGTCATCTCTTAGTTATGCCAGATTGGATCATATTTAATTCATGAAAACATAGTAAATACTCTTTCTTTAATTGTGCACAGCATAATGCATAATACAAATGCAAGTTTGACATTGTAACAGTACTGTATGTGGTGCAGCTACTCAGAGCTTTATTTGTTCTTCATTTGTTACAGTAAAAGCCTCACATCCATACAGTTCCCCATTTACCACCCCTGTCCCCCCCTTGCTCCTCATCCCCCTTTCCTCTTCTTATCCCCTATTGGCTCTAGACTGGTGGTGTGTGAGGGCCAGTTGAGTACGGTACAGTAGTAGAGTGTGAATTGAGTCCCAGTACTAATAGGCTGCTTAAAGTCTCCCCCCCAGTGGACGCGGAAACCCAGCAGGTGGCTGAGAAGCTGGCCAGGTTTGTGGCGGAGGGTGGCCCAGAGGTGGAAGCCATCGCTGCTGAGCGCAACCGAGAAAACCCCGCCTTCAGGTCATTTGCTTTATATGTGACTGTGTTCTGTCATCCTGACAATTTGTTTTTTTTTTCCATAGCATTTGATTTGTCTCACAAAATATACATCTTTCCTCCTTCAGTTTTTTATATGACCCCCAAAGTCCAGCCTTCCATTACTACAAAGAGAAAGTTCTGGAGTATCGTGCTGAAACCTCGCAGAGCTCTTCACCTCCAGCAGCAGACTCCAGGACAGAAACCCCGCGACCAGCTGCTCCTACAATACCCGCATTCCCTCCGCTGCTGAACCGCACATCTGTACCCCAGATTCAAGAGTCAGAAACTCCACCTGCCAAACGCAAGAGAAAAAGCAGATGGGGCTCTGAAGATGACAAAGTCGAGTTGCCCATGCCTCCCGTTATTGTTCCAAATGAGATTGTTGTTCCAGACCCGAACGCACCCACTCTCTCTGGTACATAAACTTGTGATTTTCTGCACTGTACATATTTGCATGTAAAAAAAAAAAGAAAAAATGTATGAACCCTTTAGGGCCATGCATGGTAACACAAAACCTAAACTTTTTGATTTACATTTTATTGATATATTTCAGCGTTTACCATCCATGCCAATAGAAAATTTACAAATGTGTAAATTTGTGGTGACATCTGTTTCAGCCCAAGAGCTCAGAGGCCTTGGTTATAAGAAGGGGAAGCCTCATGGTCTGGTTGGTGTGACTGAACTATCTGAAGACCAAAAGAGACAAATCAAAGAACAACAAGAGGTACAAAAGTGCCTTTTTTTTTCTTTTTTTTTTTTTTTAATGAATAATTGCTGAACTTCACTCTAAAATATTAGACTGCACTCTTTGTCTACTGTTTCAAACATCATTCACACTCTAAATTCAGAGGTACTACATGCACTGCTGTCTGTGTTCTGTAACCCACAGATGCAAGAGATGTATGAAATGATCATGAAGCATAAGCGTGCGATGGCAGAGATGCAGATAATGTGGGAGAAGGCCATCAGAGATCACCAACATGAATATGACAGCGATGAAGAAGTGGACCAGGAGGCAGGCACCTGGGAGCATCGGCTACGAAAGATGGAAATGGAAAAGACACGTGGTG